TCTATCTATCTATCTATCTATCTATCTATCTATCTACCTATCTATCTCTATCTATCTATCTATCTCTATCTATCCATCCATCTCTATCTATCTATCTATCTATCTATCTATCTATCTATCTATCTATCTATCTATCTATCTATCTCTATCTATCCATCCATCCATCCATCCATCTCTATCTATCTATCTATCTATCTATCTATCTATCTATCTATCTATCTATCTATCTATCTATCTATCTATCTATCCATCCATCCATCTCTATCTATCTATCTATCTATCTATCTATCTATCTATCTATCTATCTATCTCTATCTATCTATCTATCTATCTATCCGTCCATCTCTATCTACCTACCTACCTACCTACCTATCCATCCATCCATCCATCCATCCATCCACCATGACATAGAATCTAAGGGCTGGAAGGGACCTTGGAGGTCTTCTAGTCCAACCCTTTGCTCAGGCAGGAGACCCTCTACCATTTCAGACCAATGGCTGTCCAGTCTCTTTTTGAAAGCCTCCACTACAGGTCGTCCTCGACTTACAACAGTTCATTTACTGATCCTTTGAAGTTACAACAGCACTGAAAAAAGTGACCTTATGCCCATTTTTCACACTTAACGACCGTTCTAGCATTCCCCCATGGCCACGTGACCAAAATTCAGGTGGCTTAGCAACTGACTTATATTTATGACGGTTGCAGAGTCCCCGGGGGGGGGGGGGGGAGTCATCCCCCTTTGCAAACCTCGGGCAAGCCAAGTCCAACGGGGAAGCCAGATTCGCTTAACAACTGGATGACTCACTTAACAACTTCATTGATTTGCTTAACAAATGGGGTGGGAAAAGTCGTAAAATGGGGCAAAGCTCACTTAACAAATTTCTCACTTAGCGACCTAACTGTGATGACCCAAAGGGGCGTGGCACAAAGGCAACAAAGTCACAAAAAGTAGGTAAAGTCCCCTTTAATTCCTCCCACTTGGCCCCCAATGTCCAGTTATCTTCGGCTGGAGAAAAAAAACTCTCCCAAGAACAGTTTTGAAAGGGAAGACATTCAGTCTGAACCCAAAGTAGATCTAAATTATAAATAAAAACCAACACAAACCACAGCTGCAGCAATGAACGAGACAGGGCAGGATAAGGAATTGCAGACTTCAAAAGATAACAAAACATAGTTGGGAGGACGCCAGAACCCAGATAAGACTTGACAAACCAGAATAATTTCACGCTTTGCTTCCAGCAACTTTGCCATGCGCAGTTTGCCCTTTTAAACAGCCTTCACAGCTGCAGCCCATGAAGGGGATCAGGGCCCTTTCCTCCCCCATAAGCCACACAACTCACGTTGCTCCCTTATCTGTTCCTACATGCCCTAGGATGAAGAGGGGGTGGGCCTGGGTCTTCCTCTGAATACCCACCCAGCCTGTGCCCTTCCCCAGTTTCCTCCCCAGCCACCGGGGCCCCACTCCCACTCCCTGTCAGCTGTTCCACCTCCCCCTCGGAATCAGACTCCAACAGGGGCAGGACAATAACTTTGGGGCTCAATTGTTCTCACTGTCAGGAAGTTTCTCGTTGAGTTAATGAACATGAATTGATCCATTAACATGAATTGATCCTTGATTATGCTGCCCTGCTCTGCAATTGCAATTTTAGTATCCACTTTCTCCGCCTACTGCAATTCTTTGGGAAATAGGAACGGCTTCCATTTTGTTTCCACCAGCCAAAAGGAACTGGATGCCCCTGGCAAAATTGGCCACCATGCCACATTCCTGTTGTGAGCCACGAAAGGCACAGGGAAGAATCTAGAAGCCAAGGAGGCCTTACCTGAGCCGTTTCTTCTGGGGGTCTGGCCTGAAAGACGACCTCTGTTGAAAACCATAAATAACCGTAAATAAGGTCAGGGGCCTTGCAAGGGGAAGGCAGTCGCCCCTAAGATGCCAACAAGGCTAAACACATTTTGGATCTTGGCTGAGAGGACTTCTGAGGAGGTTTGCAAATCCTGGGATTAGGGCTCCTCCCCTTGTTGCCCTCTGCAGCACGTCTTTCTCCTTCTCATCCGTTTGTCTGTCTATAACTATCTACCTATCCCCTCCTACCTACCTATCATTATCTATCTATCTATCTATCTATCTATTTTTATCTATCTACCTACCATCTATCATTATGTATCTATCAATCATTATCTATCTATCTATCTATCATCTATCTATCTATCTATCTATCTATCTATCTATCATTTTTATCTATCAACCTACCATCTATCATTATGTATCTATCAATCTCTATCTATCTATCTATCTATCTATCTATCTATCTATCTATACTTTATCTATCTACCTACCATCTATCATTGTGTATCTATCAATCA